CTTTGTATATTTTCATTACCTTCACCTTTACCAAATTCAATCAATGCATTCTGCAAATTTATCACCTGGTCTCTCCAATTCTTCTCCGCCTCCAATTTCTCTTCTCTCGTCCCCAAATCTTTTATTTCATCTTCATAATCTTCCTTCTCTCCCTCCAAAATTTTCTTTTCTTTTTCATCTTTTCCACATCTTATTTGACCATTCAACTTTCTCACTTCAATCTTCAACTTTTTCAGCAGTTCCTCAAACTCCTCTAACTTTCTTTTCGCCTCTTCATGGTTTCCTTCTGCCTTTTTTAACTGCTCTTTGATTTTTTTGATTGTCTCCATTTTTTAAAATTTTAAAAAAAATTTTTTCTTTGTATTATTTATTGATTTATAATTGCTATAAATAATTTGGGCCAATAATAAATTAGTGGGCACATGACTTGGAATTTATTTTTACGGACAAAACGGAGGTGAGTTGGCAGCAATTCTTTCTAAATGTTCATATTAATACTCTACTACCATTGACTGATCAGTAATGAGCGCCTCCGTTGCAAGTGCATTAATCTTAACGTTTTCCCAATTGGCACAATGACTCAGATTGACCTGGAGCAAATATTTTGGAATCAGGACTAAGAGATGCATTAGGTAAAGTTAAACCCTGTGTTTTGTGGACTGTCAATGCAAAAGCATTTTGGATGAGGAATTGTTTCCTACTTGCAGGAATTCCATTTACTAAGAAGTTTGATGTTTACATTTTGATATCTATGTCTACTATTGCTTCTACTAAAAAATAATTTTTTACTGGCAATTCTGAATGTTCAGTTACATATAATATAGTGTCTATTTTAGTAGGCATTTTTATGTTGAAAAAAAATATTTAACAAAAAAGGAATTGATGAAACAATATTAATATTAATATTAATTAAAAACATTTTATTTATGTTGGAAAAGTTGGGAATTATTAGTTAAAAAACATTTTATATTGATTTTTTAAGATGTAAAAAAAGAGATGCTTCGCAGCTAGTGTTGTGACCAGAAACTCTTTTGGCTTCCCAAAACGTTTTGGAAAATGAACTTACACTAAGCAGAAAACTAAAACTAAACCTAAACATAAACATAAACTACTAACTTAAACTAGTTTCAGGTGGTTTCTATTAGTTCCTGTTTCAGGCTTTCCCTAAATTCAGAGTTTCAGGTCACAACACTGTTCGCAGCCACTAAAAAAAATACAAGTCATTTGTTTTATCTCCATGTTGTCAATTGTCAAAAAAGAAACCAATAAAACTCTTTTTGAAAATGTAAAGATTCTTTACAATATCGATTTTAAAAAAAAAGTTGGCTAATTTTAATAATTAAAAGAATTGACCAAGTTGTACAGGAGATACTTAAAACAAACAGGAATTGATTTTCAACAATAACATATTTTATTAAAGAATCAACTACGGTAAGTCTCTTTGAGACATAAAGAAGATGGCCGATATAATTCATATGCAAATTTTTATAGATGTTTTTTTAAAAGTAAAAAATTTATCCAATTGCTATTATTTGATTTCATCTTGTTATACTATATTAATTAATATACAAGATTCACGTAATTTGGAATTAAAAAAAAACTAACCCAAGCAAGCTTCTAATAAAACATGTTTTCAAGATCTTTATAGAATATATCTGCATAATGATTTACATTATGCTATCATGTCTGTTGTGTTTCTAACATTAACAAGATATTACATTAGGTTATCATAATAAAAAGTTATTTGTAATAAAAATCTTATTAAATAATATAAATCTGATCATTAATAGATATTGTAATCTCACTTTTCTGAATCATACTGATAATATAACTCTAATAAAGTTAAACATATGTATTGATTATATAGCTGTAAATGCCAAGTCTCGACCTTTATCTAAATTAAATAACATATTGTTTAATAATTACTTTTGCAAAAAAATGCATATTGTGTAAATGCTTTCTTAATGAATATAAGAATGTCCTACTTATATTCTTATAAAAATTAATAAAAACGTTACTATTAAATTTTATTTATTTCACTTACCTTCAGAGAAAATTCTTTGTAAGGAATCATTTAATTTCCAAAAGGTAGTGTTGTTTTTATAACTGCTGAAGTTGTAGATTTCATAAAATCCAGAATCACTTTGTTTCCATATTCACACTAAAAAGTTTGGGTCTGATTCATTTCGTTGACAATCATTTCGTCAAAAGTTTGTTTCATCAAAAGTTTGTTTCGTTGAAAGTTCATTTCGTCGAAAATTATTTCGTCGACAATCATTTCATTGACAATCACTTCATCAACAATTATTTCATCAACAATCATTTCATCAACAATCATTTCGTTGAAAGTTCATTTCGTCAAAAAGTTCATTTCATCAAAAATTATTTCGTCGACAATCATTTCATCAAAAGTTTATTTCATCGACAGTTTATTTCGTCGACAGTTTATTTCATCGACAGTTCATTTCTACAACAATTCATGTTAATTTGCATGTATTACAGTGTCACCAATTATGTTTGGAAAAGCATGAATTAATTGATTTATTATGTTTATGTGGAATAGGTTTACTAACATATTAATTTAATTAGTGGATAACTTTGGTTT